GAAACTTCACCTTCAGCCACAGAGGCTGTGAGGGCCAGGAGGTCTTTGTGCCATGGCTCACCTGGAGGGTGCTTGGGCTGTGTTCCTTGAGGGTTTCCATCCTTGGATGGCTCTCCAGGGCTGTCCTGCACTTAGCCAGGGRGCTCTGCCCATGATTTGTGCTGGCAGATGTGCAATGTGCCGGTGGTGCTGCCGTTAGCTCCAGCCATCAGCGAGGGGTGGCTGCATGGAACCCTGGCCTGAGCTGCTTCATCTGCAGGCAGTTTGGCAAGGCTGTCATACCCATCCTGCTCCCTCAGCTGATCTCTAGCTGAGAACAAGGATTGGCTTATTGTTATTGCATATTCTCAGAGATAATTTTTATTTTGTGTCAGAACTGGTGTGGCAGCAGGACCAGGGCAGTGCTTGTCCCCTGTGCTGGCACTGCTGGGGCACTTCCAATCTTATGTCCAGTTCTGAGCCCTCATCGCAGGAAAAGCAGCAAGGGGCTGGAGTGGGTCCAGGGAAGGGGAAGGGGCTGGATAGTCACTGCTGTGAGGAGCAGCTGAGGGAGCTCAGCCTGGGGAAAAGGAGGCTCTGGGGGACTTTCTCAGGAGCAGGGAGCCAGATTGGAGTGGCGCTCTGCTCCCAAGGGACAAGGGATAACATAAGAGGGAAAGGCCTTGAGTGTGCCAGAGGAGGGGCAGGGTGGACATCAGCAGGAATTTCCCCATGRAAAKGGTGGTCAGGCCTTGGCAGGGGCTGCCCAGGGAGGTTTGGAGTGCCCATCCCTGGAGGTGTCCAGGGAAGGGCTGGAGGTGGCACTGAGTGCTCTGGGCTGGGGATATGGTGGGCATCAGGCACAGCTTGAACTTGACGGTCCTCAAAGTCTATTCCAATGTAAATGATTCAGTCGTAATGCTTCCAGTTTTCTGGAAAGCCGGAGCCTGGTGATGGGGTGGAGGAGCTCCAGGGTGTCTGTGYTCTCCTGGAGCAGCAGATCAGAATTCAGATGAGGCTTTAGGTGGGTTTGTTGCAGTGGCACAGGACAGGCAGCGTGGGCTCTGTGCCGGGACATGAAAGCACGGGGCGCTGCCAGCAGCAGGAGGCATTAATGAAATGTGCTCCTGTCGCTGCTTCCTCTGTCACCTGTGAGTGTGGGAGCTGTGTTGAGCTCCCTGGTGCACAGCTCGTGCCATCAMTGGCAATGTCCCTGCTAATGGTGAGCACAGCTCTGGGCTGGTGCTGCTGCCACTGCAGATGGGCTTTTCTGGAACTGTGGAGCACGACCTCCTTGCCAGCAACATCTCCTCCTCTGACAGGAGGATTACTGCCAGCACTGRACATTTCTCTGAGTCTGACCCCTTGCTCTTTCCCTAGTACCTGATTTTCTTTGATGAAGAGGATTATTAGGAAAAATACCAGCCCATCCCCCTCTGCACAAGGGAAATTTTTGACCTTCCTGATGCGGTTTTGGTACTATCCAGATGCTGCTGGATCCCTAAATGGTGCACTCAAATCCAAGCAAACATTCCCTTGTGCAGGTGGGGTCACCATGCCCACATTTTCTACTTTCCAGGCTGCAAGGGTTATTTCTAAAAATGTGCTGTTTCACAGAACATTGCGTGTGGAAATCCTCTCATGCCCTCTGCGTGTGTGTGTGCCTGTAATGAGATGTCAGCCTGTGCAGGCTTCTCTCCAGGAGCTTCAGAGCCCCATTGTTGCACATGTTGGCTCCTCCTGCCTACCTGGGACTGAAGCAAACTGCTAATTGTTGTGCAGATGTCATCTGCCAGGCAGGCAGGAGGCTGGAGGCTTGAAAGAGGCTGTGCTGTCATTTGCTACCAGCCTCCTCGGTACACGTGAGCTCTATTTTTATTGGGAGTGTGCGTTTGCTTTCAGCCACTGCTTTGTTGAATTTCTTTTTYTTTYTTTTTTTTTTCTTTTTATTTCCAKGCTTGCAGATAAAGTTTGAGRRATACTCATTATTCCAGTTTTGCTGCTTGTTTTATAACTAAAAAAACCAAAAACCAACCAAACCCAAAAACCTGTTTCCTGTATGAAAAGTAGCAGTTTGTTCTGAGATGAGTTGAGGGGKAACTGAGTGTTATGGTCACCCTGAGGCTGTGGCACTGTCCAKAAGGGCACAGAGATGGAGCTCTTGAGGGAGCAGATGGAGTTGGAGCCTGTTCATTCTGCTCTGGGTGTTCTAGCTCAGGAGYCTGGGTGTTGGCTGTGGCCTGGTTTCACTTGGCCATGTCTCAGGAGAGAGATGGAGATTSTGGCTACAGGTTGTCTCTGCCTGTCTRTYTTGGTTTAAAAGACAGGTGCTTGCCAATGAAGGCAGGGACCCCCCTTGGAGTGGTGGATATGACCCCCSCTTTCCCTCCGAATTATTACAGCTTTCAAAATCACAGGSTTTCAGGCAAGAATATGRGTWAAAGGGAATAACAGTTTTTTACTAATATGTATAACAAGATAAAACAAGTAACAATGATAGCAACAACCAACCCAGCCACAAACCCAATGACAGCTTCACACAGAGACACACCCTCCCCTTTGGTGCAGTTACAGTCCCAGTCAGCAGGGGCGCTGTTTGCTCTCTGCTGGGCAGGGTGGGTGCAATGATTCCCCGGAGGCTGCAGGGGGCGCTGTGCCGCGGGTCCCGGCTGGTTCAGATCTCCCGCGTGGCCAATGGTGGACACAGAACAGCAGGGATGGATGGAGAAAAAGTTCCTCTGCAAACTCACAGCAGAAATGCTGATCTCGGTGCTCCTCTGGACAGCAAGAAACCCCAGAACGGCCGGATGAACAAAGAGAGGAGCAGAATCCTGCGGCTGCAGATGGGATGCAGCAGACCTTGACCACTGCAGCACGAATCTCAGGGGTCCCAGCAAGGCGCAGGGGCAGAAGATCACAGTGCAACAAACAGGAACCAACGACTGGAGATGCTGGGCTCTGAAGCGGCAGCAGGCAAGGTCTCTCCTGCAGGCAGCAGGTCCACTGTCCTCCCCTGAGCCAAGCAGGGCAGGAAGTGAAGCTATGAAGCTACCCCCCCGCCCCACACACACACACACACACACACACACATACACACACGCCCTCTCCGAGCCCAAAACTCTCGCAAGAACTTCTCTCTCTCTAAAGAGAGGAAATTTAAAAAAAAAAACCAAACTGCCAGGCAGGAGAAGTGCCCAAGGAAACTCTTTGGGTGGGACTAGGTTCTTTTGTTTTCACCAATYGCCCTGCCATCAAAAGGATGACCTGGCAATCACTATGTCCCAGCAACAAAATGGGAAAGAAAGATACGACAAGAAAGGAAACAAAAGGAGAAACCTTAACCCACAACATGGTCTTATGAAAATAGRGAGCTTTTCTTCTACTCTGGCTGTAGTTTACTGTGGGCTTGTGGGTTCTTGAGGTGGTTCTTTGACTCTTTCGAAAAGAGAAGACACTGAAGGAAGAAATGGGAGGTGAAGCTTTGCTGCAGTGTGTGAGTTAAGCAGGGGAGCTCATTGCTCGGGGGTGCTGTGGGTGTCAGAAATCCAGATCTGCTCCAAAACCAATTCATGGGAAAAATCCAGTTGATGTGGTAGAGGCGGCTTGGAGGTAGAGGCTGCTGTTCAGGAAGAGCCTGGCTCAGGAGTTTTTGGAAGATGCAGAAGTGCATCAGATGTATTGTTATCTCTGCTCCCCACTGTCCCTCTACTGTCCACCACTGAGCAGTGTCATGTTGTGGGTTGCCTTTTCTTTGTCTAGCAAAGCCAAGCAGGAGGAGGAAGAAGTAACATAGTGGAGTGGAGAGACAAGGTACCAGTGAAGGATGGAAGGAGAGGAGCCTTCCCTCCATGTCCTTGAAAGCTTCTGGGGGCAGTGGCTCTTTGGTGGCAGGAGCTGGTGTTGGGGACAGAAAGGGGTTGCTCCAAGGAGGGAAGACTGTGGTGTGATGTGCCATCCTGATGGACAGCAGAGAGAAAGCGAGATATTTTGGACTGCATGTATGGGAGGAACTTCTTTAAAACCTGGAGTAGGAGCAGACTTGATGGAGGGATGAGTAATGAAGGAGTGTTTGAACGGAACTAATCAGTCCCATCTTCTTTCAAAAGACCTCATTTAGTTTAATTTAGCAGCGTGTAAATTTAGAGCCAATCAAAGGAAACACTTGTGCAGCCTGTGTGCTGGCAGGCTGCTCCATTCCCTACCCCAGCAGCGAGCTGAAGGCTGTAGGTGGATCCAGAGCCTCATGTGGYGAGGCAGTGGGGGCACACGTGTGCGTGGTTACACATGTAGGGTGGGCACACGAGCTCCATTCCTGGGCACTGGCACCCACAGCAACAGAACCCTGCAGTTTTTTCCCCCCTCTCTGTTCAGCAGGAGCTCTGTGGTCCATCAAGGTGGCTCTGTGCCATGGCACTGCTCCCTGGGCTCCTGTGAGCATGGCCAGAGCCAGCTCCTGGGCCCACAGCTCGGGGGAGCCGGTGCTCTGAGCAGCTGAGAAAGCCTTGCACTGTAGGAAWCACTAAGTAAACCTTGTTGACCTCTGCAAAATGTTGTTTTCCTCAAGAAAAACCTACATATGGATTAGCTAAACCCCTGATCCTTGGACAGCTGGTCGTTTTGTTTAATTTGAATTAACGCAGCTACTTCTGTGTWTAAAATGAGGCACAGGCATAAAAAGCCTTCGCAGGATTGCACTGCTTTTTATTTTTCCCTGTGGTTGTCATACATAGCACTAACAGAGTGATTTTAAATAAGTCTTGCAGGTCTTCTCATATTTTCCAGGAGAGAGATTATCCCCTGCAGGGTCAATATAAGGTACTTGGCATTACCTGTCACAAACCCCATTAGCAGTGAGGCCGGCTGCTCCCATGATCCCAGTGTGCTCACACCTCGAGGTGTTGTGCTTCCTGTGGTGTCACACCCCTGATCCCATGCTGTGTCGCAAAGTGTTGTGTAAAGAGTCCTGAAACCTGTGAAAATGAAAAAAAMCACTGTTGGGTTTGTTTTGCTTTGCATTTCAGGCTGGTGGCAATGTCTCGCTGGGCCAGTCTCCTCTGCACCGCTGCCAAATTCCACCTGCTGCTGGTGCTGCTGCCTGTGCTCTTCTCCTGGCCAAGTCTGAGCGACAGAGCTCCCGTAAGTTTTGGCTGCTCCAGCCACTGTTGGTCACTGGGGTCTCTGTTAGGGTGGCAGCCTTTCCTCATCCCCCTCCAGAGCCCAGGAGGGTGTTGGTGAGTCACCTCTTCCCAACTGTGGAACTTTGATAACAGTATTTCAGATGCACTTTTTGAGGCTGTTTGCCTCACCCCAGAAAATAAAAAATAAGCTCAGTCCAGAGACTTTCCAACAGGAACAGTGGCACTGGGGCAGCTCCTGTTTGCATAGATATTTTATTTGAAGTTGTCACGCATTCTCCCCTGGCAAGAGGCAAAGCTAGTGATGTGCTCTGGTGAGAGAGGGGAAGGAGTGGCCTCAGCAGGTTCCTGGCTGTGCATCTGTTGAGTCACCACAGGTGAGTCAGGCTTAGGAGAGCATTCTCTTCGATCTTTGGGTTCCATTTGCATGGATTYTGCTAATTGCAGGTGGTTGTTGTCAGCTGTGGTTGTGGTGAGTAGGGTCTGCCCCTCAGCACAGGGTCAGGTGTGCAGAACTCCCCAGGATGGATGCTGCTGCTGACCCCTCGGTGCCAGGCCCACAGAAAACTTYCTTGAGGAAGCTTGAGCAGTAGAGAGTGGTGGCTTTTTGTCTAATAAACCCAGCCACGCTGGCATAGGGGACCACCAACTCCATGTCCCTGGACACTTGCTCCAGCCTTTGCACCACAGCTTGCTGGGCTGTTGGTTTGGGGTGCAGCTGCCTGGGGGCTGCACTGTCACCCAGAGCAAATCCAAGGGACAGATCACAGTATAAATACTGTAAGGTCAGTACCTTGGGCCCTCCTGGGGTCATGTCATAACTTTTGTATCAGCACTGGGGTAGCAGCAGGATCAGGGCAGGGCCTGTTCCCTGTGCTGGCCCTGCTGAGGGATCTCGAGGGCTGTGTCCAGTCCTGGGCCCCCATGGCCAGAGGGACCCTGAGAGGCTGGAGCGTGTCCATGGCAGGGAACGGAACTGGGGAAGGGTCTGGAGCCCCAGGAGCAGCTGAGGGAGCTGGAAAAGGGGCTCAGCCTGGAGCAAAGGGGGATCAGGGGSGACCTTGTGGCTCTGCACAACTCCCTGACAGGAGGGGACAGCCGGGGGGGTCGGGCTCTGCTCCAGGGAACAGGGACAGGAGGAGAGGGAACGGCCTCAGGCTGGGCTGGGGAGGGGCAGGGGGGACATCAGCAGGAATTTCCCCATGGAAAGGGTGGTCAGGCCTTGGCAGGGGCTGCCCAGGGAGGTTTGGAGTGCCCATCCCTGGAGGTGTCCAGGGAAGGGCTGGAGGTGGCACTGAGTGCTCTGGGCTGGGGACACAGTGGGGATCGGGCACAGCTTGGATTTGATGTCTTGGAGGGCTTTTCCAGTCTCTGATTCTGTGAATGTTGACACATCTCTGTTTCAGGGAGGAAGGGGAGGAGGCTGAAGCTGGAGCTCAGTTATCCCAGCTGGAGATGGAGCCCTGGGACAGCCCCGCAGTCAGAGCTGTGGAATGGGAAGCAGCCTGGTGCCAGGTTCAGGCAGGATTCATGGGGCTGCTCTGCCATCACCCTTCCTGCAGTCCTTTCCAGAGGCTCCGCAGCACTCCCATCCCTCTTTAGGACAAGCAGGCTGCAGTGTCCCAGCCCCTCTCTGTTCAGACTTTTCACTACCTGCCCTTGATTTCAGACTGACAAAACAAGGACACTTTTTGCCTTTAAGGAAATGTCCATTGTTATTTAGGAAACATCTTTCTCCTAGTTGAATTAGGAAAACAACCCAAAAGGGTTTTACTGATCTCTGTGTTAATGAAGACCTGCTTGTGTGGTGCTGCCCATTTTTGCTAGAAATGCTAATGAAAATGGAGTATTGCAAAACAACTGTGGCCAGGCAGTGACAGGAACACTTAAATGAACCGAGTCACATCCTTTCATCCTTACTGAGCATTTAAACCCCAGCACTTTTCCTAAGCAGGGCCAGTAAACATCAGCTGTCTCCATTATGTGTTTGAACAGATCCGGCTCTGGGAGGCCTGTTGGTAAATTTACAATAGCCTGTATCACTAAACTCCCTCTTGGATAATCACAGAGCCGTGGAAATAAGCTAAGTAATAACTGCTCCACTCACTCCTTTTTAGCSCTGTTGAGTGTTGGCTTGGAAAATGTTAACATTGATTTTCATCTGCACAACCTGGCTTTTTATGGCTGTGATTGTTCCTGAGCTTTAACAGTTTGTTATAATTTGAACAATTCCAAGCCCCTGATGCACTCAGCAAAAGCAGGAGTTAAGATCTGGTTTCTCATGCATTTCTGAAATTGCAGTCCCTCTTGACAGCTGAAATAAAAACATTCTGTAGGTTTGTCAGCCATCTTTGTKTGTTACCACGGTCATGGAATCATGGAATTATTTAGGTTGGGAAAAACCTTTATAATCATCGAGTATAACCATTAACCCAGCACTGCCAAGGCCACCACCACTAACCCATGTCCCCAAGTGCCACATCTGCAGTGTCATTGCTACTGTACACGTTCTGCTCAGTTTGACATTTCTCTTGCTCAGAAAAGACTCTTTTAGGCTGGAAATGGATATTTAAATGCAGAGCATCCAAATTCTGACAGARAATGTGCATACATTTTTTCCCAAAGAGTAGAAGAACTGAAGGCAGAATGTGTCCCAGAATTTCCAGTTAACCTCTGAATTTACTTCTATTTTTCCCTGTGAAAACATTCTAAGGATTAAYATCCAAGCATTTCATGAAGTGAGCTGTAACTCTATTCTAATTGCCAACAATTAGGACTAATTTTTCCCTGTAGGGTGGTTAGCTCAAATTCTTCAGTGGTGACTGAATTGGTGATCTCAGAGGCTGAAAATACTCATTTCAGCAGACACTGAGCTGTCGGGAGGATGAACCTGGGCCAGTTCATCTGTTCCTGTTCCAGCCAGAACAGCACAGACCCAGGAGTCAGTGCCTGKTGTGAGAGTACAGGTCGTTACTATGCACTCTCCACAGTTGGATGTGACTCCCACAGATCCCTGTGGAGGCTTTCCATTGAGCAGCAAGGTTTCCCTCTCAGCAAGGATTTCTTTCCCTGCTGTTCTTCCCTGTTCTTCCCTTGGCGTACCGTCACACCACTCGTGCTGGCTGCTCTCCCACACCTCTGCCATCCTCGTGCTGCACTTGCCATGGAGGTGGTGATTAAATCCCTGCCTCATTGTTTTAAAAGACTTGGAGAACACTGGGAGCGGGTAGAGAAGAGGATCCTCACATTTGTATCATGTGGGCAACTCGGTGTGTTTTTTCCCATGTCCTATTTTGGAAATAGCTGAACTATTTTAGCTGAAATCTTCTCCAAGCCTGAAATAAGTGCATGTAAGGAAAAAAAAAAAGAAAAACAAAAACAAAAACCCTAACCAACCAACAAGCCTTGAGGCGTTCCACTCGTGTGGAAAATTTCAGCTGAAAAAGTTAAAAGTTTCACATATTTTTAGGTAAGGGAAAATGGGGTCTTASAATGTTACACAACCCTAATAATAGCCAAGGCTCCTGCCTCTGACTGAAATACAGGTGAGGCTCTGTGAGAGCTGGTTTGAAACCTGCAACCTGCTCTGGAATAGGAAATAAGCTGCATTGCTTTGTTCAGCACAAATGTCATGCTAGTTATGCATGTTTAACCTTTAATATACTTTAAATCTAAATTTAACCATGTGGAAAGAATCTCGGATGTCAAAAAAAAAAAAATCTGCTGGCGAGGGGAAAAAATTTGTATTCTCAGCCAGCRCTAAATTACCCAGATGCAATTGCTAATGAGCTGAATCTCTTGTCTCCAAAAGGAGTTTGCCCTAACAAAAATAGAAGAGAGCGACATAAAAGATGAAGGTGGGAACGAGCCGGTGACAGAGGATGACGCCGATCCTGAAGACCTGGAAGTGTTTTACCCCACAGATCAGTGGCAAACCCTGCGTCCAGGTAACTGCTGCTGGCTAATTATAGCCTCCCTCTGGARCCCCACCTGTCAGCACTGCCAGCAGCCTTGCAGACACTCAATTCCTGTTTGTTCCCATGACAATCAGTGCTTTTGCTGATGTTCGGATAAAGAGAGAAGAACTCGGTGACCCGGTTCAGGGGCTGGAAGCCAAGGGCAGAGCATCTGACCAGGGGAGCGGTTGCTCAAGTGCTTTCAGGTCACTGGAACAGGAGGGTGGGCTGCCAGCCCCCTTGTGGGTGGGGGGCTGTCTCTGTCCCTGGCTCCACAGCCCTCTCTCTTCAGTTGTCGAGGGACAGGTTTTATAACATTTGTTGGCACGTGGATTCCCAGCTCTGCTGTGCTCTGGTGTGGAGCTGCTCAGTGGCAAGCTGATTAGGAGCTGTCACTGGAGCACTGCACAGCTTTTTAACAATRGGTTTTCTGTTCCTTGGCTGTTTGAAATCTAGCTTTTATTCTTATTTGTGCAAACCACAAAAAAAAATCTCTTCCCTTTCTTTGGCTTGGTGCCTTTCATTAGATGTGCTGGGACTCTATAGTGAGAGGAGCCCAGCGGAGCAGCTTGGCCTCCGTGTGCTGGGAAGGCTCTGGAGGGGCCAAACCCATTGAAACACACCCAGATGTATGTGTGCATACATATTTCAACAATTAGCCTGCCTCTGGGGTCTTGGATGAGCTGTCCAATCCACTTGTGCTTTGGTGTCCTCATGTATATGCAGGTGTAATACCTTCCCACCTCACAAGGGTAAACTAAGTAGTAATTAATTTTTATAAAGTGCTCTGAATTTAAGAGCTTTATCTTGTGCTCAGTATTATCAGTGAATGAATAAGTATGGGTTCCATTTGTCTTGAAATTTCTGCCAGATATAGCAGAATGACTTTTCCAAGTGTAAATCTTTGAATAACATAAATGGCTACAGAAGCCCCTCCATTCCACAGTATATACTTATATTCCATTTCTGTACCATTATGTATGGAAGGCGTGTAGTGTCCCTGCTCATTATTCAGCCTGGCAGATCCCCACCAGCTCTGTTGGAGTAGAACATGTACATACTTGCAATCATTATAAACCTCATTGCAGGGTTTGTTCACCAGCACCTTCTCCACTGCTCGGGTGCTTTGTTGGCTTCATTTCTGTAGTAATTCCATGTTGGACTCGTGCAGTGAAGGGCTTGTGGAAGTGGGGAGCCTGTCAATAATCACAGAGGAGAGTAATTTTGGTTACTCTCGTAAAACTTAAACAGTGTCCTGTCTCATGTCCTACCTCCTACAGATCCTCTCACTGGGAACGTGTCACAAAGGAGGCTTCTTTGGTGTCCCACTGCCAGCCTGGGTTTCTGGCTCCTGGGGGTTCCTCTGAAGGGAAATCTCTGTGGACTGGCACTCACACTTTCTCACATGTGTTACCGAGGCTGGGGACCCTGCTGCCAGCASCAGCCCTCCTTGCAGCCTCTGGCCTCGAGGCTTTCCCAGTGCGAGCACAGCTCCGTACTGGGCAGGGAGCTGACTCTGGCACAAGGGGATTTGCTGATGTGGCTGCACAAGGACGCACCTTTTGGCCCTTCAGCAGAGCCATGCACCCGGGCAGTGTGTAATCCACTGKTTCTGCACCTTGCCATGTTTTTGCTGCAGTTCCACTCACTGGCAGCTGAGCAGAGCCTGCCTGGGCTGGCTGGGCTGTGCTCAGGAGTTGGCCCTCTGCTGCCCATCTCTCCAGGATATCCYTACTCCCTTTCCTGTTGCATCCCTCTGGCAAACTGAGCCAGTCTCTCTTGGATAAGCAAATGTTTTAATTTAAAATTTGAATTTTCAGTGCTGAACGATGGGAGGGAGCTTGGAGTTGCGTTTCCCCCATCTCACTCTTGTTTCAAGTTGTTCCTGTTCTGAGCTCACGTATAATTTTTGTGCTTCTCTACAATGGTGCAGCAGCTCATCTTTTATAGATGTATTCCCAGTTTTCCTCTGCTGAGTTTCTAGTTCCCTGTTGCTAATTACATCAATACCCATTTCCACTGAGACTGCAGCCGTGTCATCAACCTGTAGCCTGTCAGATCCCCCTCCCCAAATCCAATTGTTATTGTATCTGTARCGCTTCAGGCGCTTGTTCCTTGCTGTCTACAGTGTGAGTTGGATTTTGATCAAGTGCTTTCTTGCACTTTGAGCACACTTCAAGCTGCTGGAGGTAGCTGGATGCAAACACAGACAGACAGTTGCCCTAAGAGCTCTGCTGCCTGTAATCTGGGAGCAAGATCAGTTGTCTTTTCTGCCAGGCAGCTGGAGCTGACGGCTCTGGAAAGGKTGGTGAAACTTCACAAAGTCCTTTAACACTTTGTTAGGCATTGCTTCTTTCTCACTTGGCACTAAATAATGCACCAGGTGTAGTGGGCTCAGACTGAAAGGAGACATGCGCCTCTGAAAGCCTTGCGGAATCTCAGATATTGTACTTTTTGGTATCATCCATGGGGCTTTTCCTTCTGTCCRTGGTTGGAGCCCACAGCAAGCTGCAGGTTTTTGGGTTTTAGTGAGTGGGATTGCAGTGCCCTCTGAATGAAGGTTCACACCCCTGCTCAGACTCCTCATGATCAGGTAACTGTTCYACCCCAGACACAGAATTTGTTTGAAGTTGTGCTTCTTCTGCTGTCTTTTTCCTTTCAGAATGCATTTTGTCCAGGTGATGGTACCCTTCAAAGTTGGAACCTCTCTGGAGGAATCTGGGAGAGGTGACTTTCTTTTGTTGCTGTGTACATTAAGCTGTGCCAGGCTTGTGGGGGTGAGTCTGTCAGCACACAGAAACACCTGCTGCCTCTCAAAGTGATCCTGCTGGTGGTTATGGCAACCAGAGACTGACCCTCAGTCCTTGGGATGGCACAGATGAATGGAAGTGTTCAAAAWATGTGTGAATGTGGTGCTTAGGGATGTGATTTAGTGGTGGCCCTGGTAGTGCAGGGTTAATGGTTGGACTCGATTTGAGAGGTGTTTTCTAACTTCAATGATTCCATGATTCTGTGATGGTTTCCTCCATCAATTTGTCAAGTTTTCTTGGAGATTCTGTGTATAAAAGCATTTCCTTCACATTTCTGGTACCTCCAATTTGCCACGCAGTATCCCAGAGCACACAAATGCTTTATTTCCTGGGAATTACCTACTTTTGTTATTTGGGCAACAAATTTTCCACTGTTTTGTTTAGCATTCCTGATGATGATTGAAAGTTGGAATGCTCTGACCATCTACTCACATCACTGAGCATCAGATTTTCCACCCAGCATTGGGTCAGCAGTGGCTCCTCAGGGAAGGCTTTGCTGTGAAGATTGAGAAAAGGGRTATAAGAGACAAGGGTTGAACTGGGAAAGGAAAAGGGGGTTAATGACCCCCCCAGCAGTGATGGATGCAGAGTTGGAGCTGCACAGAGCCTCTTCAGGTGGGCTCTGCCYACCCTTGTGGCAGCAGCACTTAGCTCCTCCCTGATGAAAGCCTCTGGCAGGTTTTCCAGCTGACAGCTGGGAGTTAATGAGTCCAGTTTGCAATCCAGATGGACAAGTGAGAACCTCCTCTGCCCAAAACATGAAAATATTTACAGTCTGCTSTGCAGACAGGCAGCAGTGGGGCACAGAGAGGCTGCATTTGCTCCAGAGCAGCTCCCTGCAGGCCAGAGAGATGGAGCAGAGCCTGGCACTGGTGCCTGGCATTTGCAGCATGGATCTCTCTGGGGTTTGGATGGAATGTTCCAGGGCAGAGCAGGGATCTTGGCTGGCCTGTGCTGTCAGCCATGGTTAAAGTTCTGCCTTGCAGAGCCGAGCCTGCAGTGACTCCCTGGCATTTGTGCTGCCCAGAGTCATTTGCTGAAGTGCCTGATTGTATCACAGTTAAAAACCAAGGAGCCATAGCTGCTGCTGTTGATCAGGCTGCCAGAGTGAAGTTGATGTGAACATGCTGTTGGTGCTGCTTCTGCAAAGATGAAACCATCTTCTGTTCAGCGGGGAGCTGATGATACATCGCTTGGCATTTAAATATCCATGRCTGCAGCTTCCAAGGATCCTCAGGCTATCTGTGCTCTTCCTGCTGTCACAGGTCTTCTCCCGTCTCATTTGCTGCACAAACAAGKTTTTACACCTATGGAAACACAGCTTTCGAGGCATCCACGTTGGGGAGGTGTTTTCAGAAGCTGCTTTGGAGGACCTGCTGTGGTTTTGGAAAGAACARGACTCAGAGTGGGGAATAACTCGGTTCAGTTTCATTGCCAGTCTCTGTCATTCCAGAGATTTTGGTGGCCAAATGAGCCAGCAGTGCTTTAAGCAGAGAGAGGTTTTTACAGCTGGGAGAAGAAGGAGGCAGGAGGGATGCCTTTGGCTCAGGAGCCCTGTGCCAGCCTGTSCCACAGCCCTTGGTGGTGATGTGGCTGCTGAGGGTCCCTTACACCTTGTCTGTGGGTATCCTGCCCCTGCTGCTCACTGGGATGCCCTGAGCTGCAGCAGCTCTTGTTAATTGYTTTGCTGAATTAATGACTGTCCAAACCACTGGCTTCTCGGTGACCTGGACCTTAACTCAGACAGTGGTGGGCAGGTCTCTGAAATATTTATGGCAGCACGGTCGGGAGAGGGCTGTGAAGTACAGAGTGAAACCACCAGGGTATGCTCGTTTTTGCAGAGTTTGACGTGTCTAACCCAGGAAATGGGAGCCTCATCAGATCACCACAGATTTGCATGTAGAGGAAAGGCAAATGGAATTTWAAAAACCTCATCTATACTAGATGAAATGCTTCTTCTCTGGGTCTCTTTATAAAGTGACTTGTTACTGATGCGCAGAGGGGAGAAATTTCGGCTGTACATGATAATTGTTGTTATAATCTTGTCTGGCCAGCAACAGCAGAGCTCCAGGGTGATTCCAGCAGGTAGGACAAGCCTGGCTGACTTGAGAGCAAATGCTCAGTGCTTGGAAGCTGAGTTATGGCCACTGGTAGTTCTCCCCCTGCTTGTTTTTAATCTGA